GTAGCCCTCCGCTGGACTCTCTCCAGTAGCTCTTCATCTTTCTTGAACTGGGGAGCCCAGCACTGGACACAGCACTGCAGATGAGGCCTCACCAGGGCAGTGTAGAGGGGAAGGAGAACCTCCCTCGACCTGCTGGCCACACTCTTCTTGATGCAGAATACTGCTAAGTGTGCTGTATACACAGGGAACTAAGTATGCCTCGTAATATTTGCTGCTGTCAAAATTCCTATTTCTAATTAGTTGTTTTGCTATAAGCTGGACAAAACACGCACCACTCACTGGAAAACAGAGTTGAACAAACAAACAGAATCACAACAGAAAGATATCAGCAAAGGAAGCTTTCTCCAGAGATAAATATTCATACCTCAGGTACTTCAGTGTGGCTAATGACATTCATGTTTTAGATTCTGTTCATCTTGTGTGAACAGTACGTGCTGCAGGCTGCGATCTCGGGGAGGACGTGTTTTTGGTGTGCTACAGAAGAAATGAGCACGTTAGGATGTCCACGTTTCACGAGCGGAATTTCCTCCCTTTGATGATTTCCTATTTTCAGGTCTTGAATTTGTGTTGTACAACTTGATAGTTGAAAGGGTTGGAGGAAAAAATTCTTTGAAGAGCCCTGTGTTAGCTTTTATTTTTTCCCCTTGAATTTGAAAAAATGTATACGGTTGTTTTAGGCATCATTGCTTTGGCCCAAGGATTGTACTGTCATTGTTCTTTTCTAAGAGGTGGAATAACTCATTCCACGTAATTGTCTTTCATTCTGTTTAAAAACTAGGCTGAAATCCACCTCAATGTAAAAGACAGTTTTCCCTCAAGGAGAGTGTTTATTTGAGAGCAGATAGCTCAGCAGGGGCGGGGATGGAAATACCCTGGGCTGATGCTGCCCACAGAGAGAGTGCATCCTTAATCATGATCCTTGGGGACCTTCTGATTTCTGCTCCACTACTGCCTCTCCTGAGACGAGTCCCCAGGCAAGTCTGCAGCCCCTGCACCTCCTTTTTTTCCCCAAACCTTACCCACACCTAAAGGGAAGCACAACCTGACCGCTCCCTTCCTTACCGTGGCGCAGAGGAGACCCAGGCAGCAGGGACATCACGCAGGCAGCAGGGATATTTCCAGTCTGGGAGGTGGGAGACACCAGCAGGGATCCAGACGCCGTCTGCCAGAGGCAGGCACGAGGACTGGGGTGAGCTCGGACAGCCACAAGCGTACCCCCACGGGTTGTCCCCTCCGGCACAGAACAGCCGCTCCCAAAACATGGGTGAGAACCTTGGAGTTCCAATTTTCAGTCCCCTGACACAGAAATGTCAGCAGGTCACAAGCTTTATGTCATTGGCTTACGTTTTCCCTCGTTTGTGTTCTTGTATTGTGACAGCATATTTATATTTTTTCTTCAGTTAATCATTGCACTTTGCTCCTCAGAGTTTACAGCGCTTCAGAGTCCCAAGACACAGTATTTGAGGATGTGGCGCCTTTGCTAACATCTCTCCTGGATGGGTAAGTTAAAAGGTGGGAGTAAGAAAGCTAAGGGGCAATAATCTACTGAAATCCACGTCAAATAAAAAAAAAAAAAAAAATTAATAGTGGCAGTCCTGTCCAGTTTTGTGGCTTGGCAGTTGCATTTTCCTGTTTTCTTTCCACTCAGCACCAAGTGACTGTTTTTTTCCCATATAAACAGCGAAAACACTGTTTACAAAATTTAGCAGAGCAGGCAAATTTGGCAAAAAAAATTAGGTTTTTTTTCCTCTGGTCTCTTTCTGGCAAACTTCAGCATTGCTTCTAATGGAGGATGCTGTCTTTTTTGTGTGTTTTGGTAGGTTATGTTTTGTAACTGTTTTTCAGTTGTAGACAGGGTATGATACATCTAACAGCGTGTTCCTGTATGAAAGTCCTGCCAGGGCTGGTCTGTGATCATCTGTTCTGCCTTTGTGTACAGCACAGGCCAGAGGAAGCGATACAACGAATTCCTGGCTGAACCAGCACTGAGCATCCATGGTTCGAACGCTCCTTCAGGCCCTGGGGTTGAAAGAGAATTCTGGTTTGAACACAGAACTGATCAGTAACAACCACTAACAAATACGTGTCACTACTTCTAGCCACTGAAGTTCACGAAGTGGGGTTCTTCGTTTATGCTAGAGCCAGCTGAAGCTGCTGTTGTGAAGCAGACTTGAAGTGCATATTGTTATAATCCTGGAGGCTTGAGCTGAGATTCACACAAAACGTCCTCTCTGCTCCCTTCGGAGCCCCTCTCCAATTCCATTCAGTTACAGGTGGTGGCTGTAGAGCTGTCGTGGACCTTTCCCTCCCAGAACGCCCCTTTCCAGTGGCGATCCTTGTTCCTGGCAGTCTGCACACTGACATTTCCAAGTCTCTTTTTCTTAAAAGCAGCCTAGAAGAGGCATATCAGGATATTGTGGGTACTGGGAAATCCCAGCCCTCCTTCCCACACGCCACGGAGGGGCCCACCAGGGCTACCTGGGCTAACGGGAGTCCTGTATGGCCCATGTGGTGTTATTCTAGTTTTACCAAGGATGAGTAACCATGATTTCCATAGCTGAGCAACCTAGGGACCGCCAGGTTGGAGGAGCTTGAAGAAGTCCTTGTAGCCACTGTTTTCTCTCTCTGCTTTTCCTTTTGCCATAAACATGTTTGCTTTGGCTCAATATAATCAGTGATCTGGATGAGGGGATTGAGTGCATGAGGAAGAACTTCTTCACTCTGAGGGCGACGGAGCCCTGGAACAGGCTGCCCAGGGAGGCTGTGGAGTCTCCTTCTCTGGAGATATTCAAGCCCAGCCTGGCCGCGGTGCTGTGCAGCCAGCCCTCACAGCTGGCTTTGAAAGAAAATTCAGGCCAGGTTCTTCTTCTGCAAGAAAACAAAAAACATTTCAAATAAGGGCTATTCTTCTAGAACGCGCTTACGTGACAGCTTGCGGGCGAACCACCACTCCTCCGGTACATCGACTCGGGCGGCGCGGAGATTCTGTCGCCATTGTTTCTTTGCAGATACCTGTAAGAAACACATTTCTTTTTAATAACAATTCGTATCAGGATTATTGATTACACTAGTTCTTGACATATTCTTCTGGATGATAAAAACCTCTTGAAGAAAGAAACTTGGCTTATAGAAACCTGTAAGGCACTATGCCCCTTTACAGCACTCTTCAAAAAAAAAAACCAAAACAAAACCAAGTTCTTTTTTCAGTATCTCAACCACTGCAGCTCCTGTGACACATGTGAAAGCACAAAAAGCACACAAACCTGCATGATATAGTGGGAAATTATCTTCCAACTTTACATTAAAGATAGCGGTACAGGTACGCGGTTATCTTCACCCTTACGTAAGGCCATTATCTACTAATGGCCTCAAGTTGCACCAGGGGAGGTTCAGATTGGATATTAGGAAAAATTTCTGTATTGAAAGAGTGGTCAAGCATTGGACCAGGCTGCCCAGGGCAGTGGTGGAGTCCCATCCCTGGAGGGGTTCTAAAACCATGTAGATGTGGCACTTCAGGACATGGTTTAGCAGGCATGGTGGTGTTGGGGTGAAGGTTGGACTGGATGATCTTAGAGGTCTTTTCCAACCTTAAAGATTCTGTGATTCTAGTGTGTTGCCGATGTATCTTCAGACACACCTGATCCGTACCTTCACCTGCTGTACTTCCCGCTTTCTGATTCCCACCTTGAGAGAGTCCTGTCCTACAAGCTGGAGGTTTTATATTGTTAGGAACCGTTCTGTTACTGAGAACAAGAGAGTTGTCGTGTTCTTCCCGAAGCGCCGCTTGACCAGAAGCGGGTTCTGGGGAAGGCGAGGCTGTGCCTACGAGCCGTGTTCCTCAGCAGCCTTCCCGCTGTAAATGGGAAACAGACGTGCTTAGTCTGAACCCTGAACCTTTCTGCTGCTCCTGCTTGTTTTAGTCTGGGCTCCAGAGTGGTCTGTAACAACTCTTAGCTTAAGTAGAAAGGAGTGTTCCACTCCTTTATTTTTTTCTTTATTTTTCTTTCTTAATGAATTGTTTCATTTTTCAGGATAAATATACAGGAAGAAAAGATTGTTCCATATGCAAAATAAAGCACAGCAGGCTTCAAAGTTTGCAGTTAGCCGTACAGGACCAGCACGGGAGTACAATAACATTCCTTTTCTTTACACCATGGAAGAATCAAACTTGTTTATTTTAAAGAAGAACACATTTCTCCTCCTTTGATTTCCTTTAACAGTGTTCTTTCCCAGTGATAACTCTGCCATACTGAACACCCACACTCTTTTCAGGAGAAAAATACTGCAAAACTATTGGTATTCTAGCTTGACCATAAGAACTTTTCTCAAGAAGAATAGAACTAACGAAGCAGAGCGGAGAAGGACAGATGTCAGGGCACGTAGATGAATCATAGTCCAAAATTTTCAGATTGCTCTATTTGAAACCCTCGCATTGGAACCAGCACCCCAGCGAAGTAAACTAGGTAAATATAAACTAGTCTGCTGCTTGTCTTCTTGCTGAATCGCCCAGCAATTCATTCTCTCCTGTGCCTGCTTGGATGTGGTACTGCTTCGGGTACTTTTAGCTCATTGCTGAAATACTCTTTTGGCTTTGGCAGAGAAGTTGTCGCTGATTAATACCTGATTTGTATCTCTGTCTTCAGCGTTACAAGCACCTGTCTCCTTAGTTTCTAATCATGTCTTCTGAATTTTGCCAGAACTGTTTTGGCCATGATGCTTACTTTCTAACCAGTAGCCATTAAGGAAAATTTGAGTAGCTGGACTGGAAGAAAGTTTGAGAGACTTCTAAGAAGACTTCCATTAAGTTTTTCCTGAGGGAAACTACTCCTTGCAAGCTTCTGGCTCCCTTTTTGGCTCCAAGGATCTCCCTGATTTTGAAGCAGGGCTAGAAATCTCAATAAGCTACGGGCTGGCAAGGCGGTGTGCGTTAGGGGTGGAATTGTGAAAATTGCTCATTGTTAGCCTAGCTGCAAACTGCCAAAATTCGTGGGATCTTTTCCACTGACATAAATGCAAGTAGAGTTACGTCAGCAGTGAATACTTAGAGAAATCCCTTGTTTCAGATTTACAGCCCTAATTTCTAGCACTTTTCATTTTGCTGTAGTGCTCTTTAGTTTCAGTTACGGCTATCTCATCTCCTTTACTTCATCAAATCTATGACTTTTCTTCTATTTTGTATCTGCATCCTGAAATGGGGAGGGACCTTACTACAGGTTCACTGACCGCAGCTTTGACTGCGCATCCCCAGGAGGGGTGCCTAGGTGTTTGCCGTGGTGCTTATCAGCGCACATTTCTTTCTATAACAAGAGAAAGCTTTCTAAATAATCCTCCAAAAATAATTGTTTCTAGGCATGTTTAATATGCAAAAAATCACTGCAAATATTTTTCTTTGCAGCGGCCGTGTAAGTATTTCATGACTTGAAACCACACATTAAAAACACCGAGATGAGGGGTGTTCATTCGAATTTGCTGGCATCTGCTTGAAACAACATTTTTGATGTGAGGAAAAGCATCAGATAACCAAAAGCAGCTGTCCAGGTCTGCCCACAGAGGAGGCAGCTCAGGCGGTGAAATTTTACTCCCTGGCAGACCAGGAGCCGGCCCGCTCTGGCAACTCTGTAGTCGAGCAGAAATTTCAGCGTACTGCAAAGCACTCCTCGTGTCGAGGGAGGTTCTCCTTCCCCTCTACACTGCCCTAGAGAGGCCCCATCTGGAGTGCTGTGTCCAGTTCTGGGCTCCCCAGTTCAAGAAAGATGAAGAGCTACTGGAGAGAGTCCAGCGGAGGGCTACGAGGATGAGGAGGGGACTGGAGCATCTCTCCTATGAGGAGAGGTTGAGGGAGCTGGGCTTG